GGGGGTGTTGTGGGAGTGTGGGAAGATGCCTTTTCAAAGTATAAGTCAGAAATTTCACTGAAATTCTTTAAAAAACTTAAACTTCTCATAATCAGATAATATTTTTTATGAAATGCCTCTGAGGAATTTATTAAACATGTTCCAAAACTAAACTCATGTATAGCAGCATTCATGTGCTGGATGAGAAAAATGGGAAGTCAAGTATCTGTGACTTCTCCTAGGTCACATAGCTTTTACATGGTCCAAAAGGGAGCTAACCCCAGGAACTTGGCTCCATAATTGGTGTTTCTAGACTCCAACTTCGATATTTGTCCACCCTGACTTCCTAGTTGGTGTCCTTAACCACTGTGTTCATACCTCCATCTGTGAGAGGAAAGAATATTTTCTCTTTCATTTGTTTGTTCCAAGGATGATGCAAAATCAGATGTGGAGCCTGGTATTGACTAGATGGATGCATAATAGACATGCAATAAATGTTTTCTTTCTATGTAGCAGGCAAATATATTTCCAGTATGATAATTTAAATAAACCCGTAAGGTTTTGTTTGCAATGCATTGTGTTTGATATGAATAAAGAAAGTGAGAGTTACAGTGTTGAACCAAAGTTTTGTATGTGACTTTGGGGTGGGTGGTCTGGTTCCCGAGAGGAGCCGAGCTAGGAAGCAAGGGAATCAAAGAAATAGAATTCAACAGCAAACACTAGACTGGAAACCAACCAATTAAAGAATTCAGAAAAACTGGTTTGGTGCTGGGGAATCCCAGAGCAGAGCAAGGTCTGAACTGGGTGGCAGGAGTGAACGCCCCAAGCATTTCTCGGAGCTTGTTCTGAGGTTGCTGGGTCTTCAGTGGGCCCAGAAGGCTCATTTGAAGATACTTTGCCCAGCTGTAATCTTGTAGAACATTCTTTTGGCCCTATTTTGGAAATCCCCAAATTAATAAGGAACATTTGGTCCTCAGTATGCAATACCCAAGGGAATAAATAGGTCTGGCTAAGTGTTTACATTTCAGATAGCCAAGAATCTAAATGAGGGAATTGTCTTTGGGACCTTGGTTAAAGCTTGTTTTCTGGCATCTCCTATGCTATGTAGGCTTTCCACCATTCTTCTGAACAACCTTCAATGTCTAGCTTGCATCCCTTTCCTCCCACGCCACCACCAGCCCCCTGTACTCTGTACCTAGTGTGTGTGTGTGTGTGTGTGTGTGTGTGTGTGTGTGTGTGTTTTATGCTAGTGTAGAAGCCAGCAAGGAGAAGAGCCTTATTAAAACAACATCTGTGTATAAATTGGTGAAGTTAAAATAGAAAGATTAGCTCCAGGTCATATATAAGCTTTCAAACTTAAGGAGAATATGATCATTTAAATCAAGATTTGATTGGTAGTCTAGAGCAGTTGTCAGTTAACATGAAAGGGTGATGCCTGCTGAGGTAGCCTACTGATCCCAGACCTGCCTGGCTGCTGTGGCTTTCATTTGGTAGCCCAGGAAGGTATAGGAGAGGCTGTGTTGAGCTTGTGAGCCTTGTTGAGCTAGTGTCTATTGTACTAGTATCTCAGTGCACTTCATAGGAACACAAGTTCCTGTCATGTCCTGCATTCATTTCTCCCTGACTCTTGCATAATGAAATCTTGCTAGAGACCTGACTTGTCACAGGCTACAACCTTATCTTTAAGACAGTTCTTTAATAGAGCAGAAAATACAAGGAAATGATATATTCACAGACAATTCTAGATCAAGTTATTCTGGGCGACTTTCTTAACTTCTGTAACTCCAACATATTTTTGAATCACACACACAAAATGCCTTTTGCTTTAGTTTTTAAAAAATTCCCTTATCTACTAATTGTGAGCTAAATTAACCCATATGTGTGTGTATGTATGTGTGTTTGTATGTGAATATATATATATATATATATATACTTCCTATTTTTTAATAGTGAAAAAAGACTCAAAGAGTATAGCAGTCCAATCTATAACTGTATCATTAGCACTTAAATAATTGTTTTGAACAATCTGAAGTTCAATTTTTGATTGGGAAATGAAAGATTATACCAAGTTAGGTTATTTATTTATTTCTGCTTATTTCTGTTTTTATGTGTAAGCATGTGCATGAGAGTGCAGATGCCTTTGGAGGTCAGAAGAAGCTGTTGAGTCCTCTAGAGATGGAGGGTTTTTGGTCACCCAATATGGGTGCTGGGAACTGAACTTGGGTCCTCTTACAAGAGTAATACCTGTTCTTAACTGCTGAGCCAGCTCTCAAACCACAGGGTTGGAAATGGTAATGTAAACTAAGGAAATTACTACCTGTGGCTGACTGGGAATGTAGCTTATTGGAAGAGTAGTTGCCAGGCACATGCAAGGCCCTGGGTTCTATCCCCAGTACAAACATAGGAAATTTATCTTTAAAATGATAGAATTGGGAGCAACTTTGGTCCTTAAAATATATATATATATTTTATATATATATAAATATATATACTGTATATATAAAAGTATATGTATATGTGTATGTATATGAATACAAACATGTTAAGTAGAGAATAAGAGTTCCAATTACTTTTATTCATTGCTCAGATCCAACAGTTATCAGAATTTGCCACAAATGCTTTATACCTTTGCATGATAGTTGTTGAGTATTAAAATATTAATCTTGGTTTGTGAATTTTACTCTTGGGCCTTTCTATATGTGTCTCTAAAAATGTGGACACTTTTCCTCATGTCTCATTGTCATGGTTACATCCTTGGTGTCTACTATATCTAGAGCATTTATAATTCTTTTTATATTACTTGGCAACATCATTCTTGCATTTTGTCTGTTCTAGTCAGGGTCTAAACAAGGTTGTCACTTTAGAAGTTGTTGTTAAGCCTGTGGCTCTTATTTAGTCTCCTGATTCAGATTTTCTTTTACCTCAGTACTGGGGATTGAACCTAGGGCCTTGAATGTACCAAGCAAACTCTGTGCCAACTGAACTACATCCCCAGCCAGTGGTTTAAACTTTTGAGAGTTGGCTTTGGTGACTGCGAGACACAGGTGGGGAGAAGCAAGGGTAGAGGGTTGCCTTTTAATCCATTCTATGAGGAAATATTTAAAATCTCGGCCTGTTCAGTGTAGGGGATTTGACTCTGATTTTTCCGGTCTGAAATTCTGCAATCCATGTTTGAGTGGTATTAGTTCTATATTTAAGTCAATGTGAGACATTTACATAAATTTCAGTTGTTCAGTTCTGGAGTGTTTAGCCAGAAATGCAAGTTCACTGTTTTACAACAGAATAAAGAAAAAAGCCCCAAATGTGTGTCTAAGGTACAATTCTTTTTTTTTTATAAAGATGATAAATTTCTTTCTTTTTTTTAAGATTTATTTATTATGGATACAGTGTTCTGTCTGTATGTATGCTTGCTGGCCAGAAGAGGGCACCAGATCTCATTACAGATGGCTATGAGCCACCATGTGGTTGCTGGGAATTGAACTTAGAACCTCTGGAAGAACAGTCAGTGCTCTTAACCTCTGAGCCATCTCTCCAGCCTCTCTAAGGTGCAATTCTTGCTCTAATTACAGCCAGTTATCTTTCTGATGATTGTTTTCTTCTATTTAAAGTAAAAGCATTTTTCACAGCTTAATATCTGTTTACTTAATATGCTAATTTTAGTTAAGCAGATCCTGGTCTTTAATTCCTACTTGGGAAGGCTGAGTCAGGGATTGCCATATTCGAGACCTGTGTGGGCAACTTACTGAGATCTTTTTTTCAAAGTAAAAACCAGAAAACAACTGGGGATCTCACTTAGCAGTCAAATTTTTTGTGTGGTGCATTAAGGACCCCCCCTGCCCCCCCAGCTAACCTCTAGTACCACTTCCCTTAGTCACGGTGCCCTCTTTCCAAGGTAGCTGTTTCCCTTCATTGAGTATGCTGCTACTTCAGCTAATGTTAATACAGCAGAGAAAAGTGTGAGGTTCAACAGGTCTCTTAAACATTGACTTGAAGGTGTCCTCAGATCCTACAAGGTAGCAAGAGAGAAGGAGCTCCTGAGAGTTGTCCTCTGGTCCCTGTGCATGGCGGTCTTGTCTGTTTACACACACACACATACACATGCTTACAACACACACTTATGCTTACATACTTATATACACACACTCAATTTTAAGAACATCCTCTGATATAATCAAAATTTTTTTAGCATGTTTTGCCTCTTCCTAGATAAATTTTATTCTTAATACTCTACAGGTTTGAAAAAATATTATTTATGAAAGCCACATTTTAAGTAAGATGAAAGAAATTATTAAAATGTAACTTTAAATTCATTCATATACTTTGACTTGTGTAATCTCTATGAATAAAAATCAATTACAGAAAACTATACTATGTGTGATGTTTTTATTGGAAACCTTGAGTCTTACAGTATGGATATCCATATGAGCTTTGTGAGCCTCCTTCACACCCTTGTGAGTATGGGGGCAGGCTTGTGTGATCAAGTATTTCTAGGTCATACTTTACACACATTAGTTGTAGGAAGTAGTACCTTTAATGGCTTTAAGTCAAGACAGATAGTAAAGAGGGTTCTAAGTTACTTTCTCGTTGCTATGATCAAACACCCTGAAAATGCAACTTCAGGGAGACGGTTTATTTTGGGTCACAGTGCATTCCTCACAAGAAGTCCAGGAAGCTCGAAGGAGCTGGATCCAGAGTCAGAAAGAAGTGGGTGAATGCCGAGCTCACTCTCTCTTTAGTAAGTCCGCCCACAGCTGATGGGCTTCTTACCTCAGCTGAAGGTGGTCCCTCTCAGGCATGCCCAGAAGCTTGTCTCTTTGGTGACTCTAGATCTCAGCAGGCTGACGTCAACAGTAACTGTTAAAATAGGTATATAATAATAGGTTGAAAAGTCAAGTAAGACACTTTGTAGTTTGATTCTTCACGAAATGAAATGTTCATTATTTCTGATGGTGTTAATGAGCGTCATTAGTTACCTGTTAGAGCCTGATGGTCGCAAACATTTGCTTGTTTGTACCTTCTAGGTGTTCTGATGTGAGTCTGCAAAAGCTGCCGGAGCAGTGGCTGTGGAGTGTTTTGGAGGAAATTAAAAGCAGTGATCCCTCTTCCAAACTTTGTGCCACAAGGCGCAGTGCTGGGATCCCTTTCTACATACAGGTACTCACCTGAGACCACCACACTGGTCTCTTTGTTTCTTGAAACTGTATTTTCATCTTCTCAAGATGTGAATAAACATAGTGTATTAGGATGTTTCTGTATTTCCAGTGCCACAGCATTTGTGACTTGGTTATTTTTAATTTTTATTCCATTCACTTGTTAATATGTACGTATGTGCACAGGCATACACATGCTATGGTTCACATGTAGAGATCAGAGGACAACTTGCTGGAGTTGGTTTTCTCTTGCCATCATGTGGATCCCACGGATTGAATTTAGCTTGTTAAATTTGGTGGCAAGCACCTTTATTGACTGTGCCATCTTGGTCAGTCTGTTTTGTGTCAGCTCTGTTCCAGGAGTAGGAGGTCAGTCTTGTAATATAAACAGAGGGTAGTATAGATTTCCATCTGTAGTTCAGTAGTCAGAAATCACTGTGGCTTATTTCTAGGAAGTATTAATATTGAGTTCTATAATATATCCATCATAAAAATCATAATCTTAATAGTAGTTTACAGTTGTGATGGTTATATCACATCTGTTACTTCATTTAAACTATGCCTAAACTCTATGAGATAGGTAAGTGAAGAGACGGGAGACTGAGGAAGTGACTTGCCAAAGGTCTCAGGGATGTAAACCTTGCTAGAGCTTAAGCCCAGTCCATCTGACTCTTGACCGCATCTTCATGTGAGACCACATGTGAGTACAGTTCCTGAACACAGATGAAAACATGCTGGACACTTGATTTTTAAAATAATTATATCTTACAACATGTTCATGTCCCATATGCTATTAGTGCTGCTGACGGATAAATAGTTCTTTTCTGCGGGATAGAGAATAAGAGATTGCCACTTCATTATCCCAAAGAATAAGCACCAATACCCTCGCAATACAAAATCAGATACATCCTGTGTATAGTAAGAAGACCCACAAATTGGGCAGTGTAATAAGCACAACGGAAGCAGATAAAGTAGCCTGCCTTCTTAGTCCCCCCGTAGTTTGTCTCTCTCTTTTATTTCTCTCTGTGTGTCTCTTTAATTTCTTTATCCTTATTTTATTTGCATTGGTGTTTTGCCTGCGTGTATGTCTGTGTGAGTGTGTCAGATCTTGGAGTTAGAGACACTTATTAGCTACCATGTGGGTGCTGGGAATTGAACTTGGGTCCTCTAGAAGAGCCACCAGTGCTCTTAACTAATGAACTACCTCTCCAGCCCTTATTTCTTTCTCTTATTCCTAGTCTCCTTATGACTTTTTTTTGATGCTCATGGGGCACCAGTTGCAGAAGTGGTTGGCTAAGATCACTGGGTAGCCTGAGAGATCAGCTTTTTACATGTTCCTAGCTCTTTTCTGTACCAAGTCTTTCTCTGTCCCACCAACTCGCAAATAATGACATGAAGACTTCTTACTAATTATGAAAGCTCAACCTTAGTTTAGGCTTATTTCTAAATAGCCCCTATGGCTTAAATTAATCTATTTAAATTAGTCTCTGTGCTTTCATGTGGCTTGTGGCTTTTACCTCTCCTCTTGCATGTCCTGTTTCCACTGTGTCCAGCTGGTGACTCCCCTTTGTTCTTCCCAGAGCTCTCTCTGTCCATAAGTCCCACCATACCTCCTGCCTAGCTAAGTGTGCTTTAGTTTCCTACTTGCAATTGCTTCTGACCTTCTGTGTTTATGTGGTCTTTTCTGAGGGCAAATTTCTGGTAATTGAGGGTCCTGCCCCGTGTTTGTGCTATGTGCTTATTCCAGCTGGGGTATTCACCTTGTGCTACCAATTGATCATAGTTAGAGAGTGACCATTTCCTAAACCTGAACTCAGCAGGCTACATTGCCATACTTTTGTCCGGTTCTTGAGGCAAGACGAGTTGAGTCATGTTTCTGGGAAGAATACCTCTCAGTAATTGAGTATAGCTTTGTTACTTATTTTAGTGGAATAAAGTTTTAATTGCCAGAAAAATGTGCTCAAACTGGGTCCTAGTTTTCTTAGGATGATGTACCAATAAAGTAATAGTCTTTGTTCTGTTGACAACTTCAATTTAAAGTTAACTGGTGAAAAACTACCATTTTAGTGTATAAGTTTACCCTTTGTATAAACAGACATTTTTAGACATTCATAGAGTATGTTTTCTGACATAGATATATTGTGATAAATTTATTTTAAGTCTGTTTATATGTTTTTCTTCTATACTCTTATTGCACAGCTTGTCACGAATTTATAAAATAAAGAATAGTTGCAGACTCTGGCTCTAGGGAGCCAGGTGCTACATTTTCAAGATGTAGATGTGAAGGATGAGACCTCAAGAATGTAGCTGAAGTGTCTTTTTTTTGACAACTTTGTTGAGATATAACTCACTTGTGGCAACAGTTCATGCATTTAATGTGTACAGTGCAGTGATTTGCAGTATATTCTCAGAGCTTTATAACTATTAGCACAATCTAATTCGAGAATATCTCCTAACCCCAGCCATTAGCACTTACTACTCACTCCTCCTTCCACCCACCTCTGCTGCTCTCAGCCCGAGGCAACCACTAATCTTTCTGTTTCTGTGTATTTGTCTGTACTGGGCATTTCATGTAAATGGAATCATATAATATTCAGTCTTTTATGACTGACTTCTTTCACTTAGCAGTATATTTTTAGAATTCATTCATGTTGTCACATATATCAGTACTTCATTTTTTTCTATTACATTGTCTTAAGTGGGCTGATAGCCCATTATTTTGTTTATTGGATGCTTGTCACAAAGTAAGTGACTCCTTTGAAATCCAAGTGTAAGATCCTTGTGGAGTTTCAAATGCTGTGGTATGATTCAACTTTCAGTAGACTCTTCTGTGAAGAATTAAATTGTTGATCAATATCTAGAGGGCTGGAAAACCTTTAGAAGAAATCTAATCCAGAATGTTTTTCTAACTGTTTAAAAATAAAGAAAAAAATCTTATTTGATCAGTTTATTTCTGAAAGTGCTGTTTTACCTGATTTTGTTTCTTACAAAGTGACTTACTGGTAGGCTTGTTTTTATGGAGGATATTTTCAGTTTGGGGGTTAATTTCAAAGCTGACAAATAGGTGTATGCAAAGTCAAAGCTCATTGATTTTGATATTTCCCCCCACAGGCATTGTTGGCTTCTGAACCAAAAAAAGGAAAAATGGATTTGTTGAAAATAACAATGAAAGAACTGATCTCTTTGGCTTTATCTGTAGATGCCTCAAAGGGCATAGTCCCCCAGGTAATGCTTAAAATGCTCATATACTGCTTGAAGGCAGAGGAGTTAAGTCTCTGCTGTATATTTATTTCTTAAAAGTATCTGCTAAAGATACAGAGCTGCTGGAGCTAGGTTAATATGAAGTGTGTGTTTAGGAGGTGCGCTGTTAATTTTGCATTTTTGGTCTTTGCTAGCCATAAAATAAGCTTGCTTGTATTGGTGAATGTGTGCTGTGGGGAGCTCCTTTTATAATTCCAAACTTACGCCTTCAAACATGAACTATTTTTAAACTATGTTGAAAACATTTAGTTGACGAGATATTTTATAATATTACTATATTCAAATTTTTGCATCTAAAAATTTGAAAATGAGTATGTAATCATACTTGAATTTCATATGTACTTCTTTGAATTGATGTAAACTTTGTAGTTGAACAGTTGAATCCTCCTTTAAAATGTGATGTCTTATTTTAGTATGTTTATATTTTAATTTTAAGTGATGTTTTAGTTTCTTATAGTCACTGTGTATATGTCATTGGGTCAAGCATGCCTCACAGCTGCACTCCACCACTAGGCAGTAAATACTATGTGCGCCTTGTCATCTAGATGTCCTTGGCAAATACTTTTTAGTAGGATGTTACTGTGGAAAGCCCATGCTCAGTTAGGGAACAGAGCTAAAGTTTATAGAAAAGAAAAATACATTTACTTGGTTTTAAATCATAGGTGGTATCAGGTGCCATGGTCATAATGTGGACCAACTGGGAGAAAGTATGGTGTTTATTAACATATACATAGTGGCCAGTTACTGTAAGAGAATTCTTTGGGAAAAATAACTATCATGTTATTAATCATTTTTCAAAAAAGCTCATTTCAAGACATTTTTTCATTGAAATGTGGGAAATATAACTACTTATATTTTTTTAGGCAGCGACTTTGAAAAAGATCCGAGTTGACAGGAACGTGGATAAATAGCGAGGTTCTTTGGCATCAGTAGTATTGCTTATTGTCCCTTCTTTCTTTCTGCCTTGCTAGGGTTGTAAGAAATCGGGTTTTAAAAGTCAGCCCAGTGGCTCAGCACTTTAACTAGGATGTGAAGGCTTAGGTCTGGTCTCCAGCACCACAAAGGTTTAATGATCTTAGCTGTATTTTTGCTTTTAACATAACTCTATTTTATGTTTGAGTGTTGGTTTTCTATCATGTTAAGTGGATACCTAGCATTTGTTTTTGTTTGTTTATTTGTTTAGTATTTTTAAATATGGTCATTGAAAATGTACATTTAAAGTTTGATTTTCTTCTTGGCCTTGAACTCAGAGATCTGTCTGCTTCTGCCTCCTGAGTTCTGGGTTTAAAGGCAATAGGCACACTACTACCAAGCTTATATTTCTTTTCTTAAGAATCGGTTAAAGTTCAGTGTCAATGTCTAGATGCCTTGGTAGTATCCAACTATAAATGTTAAAAAGTTTTGATCATTGCTTAAAATTTTTAGTTATTTATTTTATATGTGTGCATGTTTTGACTGCATGTATGTATATGTACTATATATATATATATATATATATATATGTATATACCTGTTCTTATGGAGGTCAGAACAGGCTGTCAGATCCCATGGACCTGGAATACAGTGGTTTGGGGCCACCTTGTGGGTACAGAACCGGGGTTTTCTGCAAGAAGAGCTAGTGCTCTTAACCTTTGAGCCATTTCTCCAGCCCCATGACCAGTGTTTTAACATGTATTTATTTTAAAAGTGTTAAAACAATATTTCTTTCCAATTACACTGTGATCAGAACACAGTCTACAAGATATCAATAGTTCCTATTTATTGAGATTCTGTTTGTGGGTAGGTTTGGGATCATTTTTTAAAATTATTTAAATTTTCCATGTATGTTTGGAAACAACCTACCTGTTCTTATTTACTAGGTACAGAAGTCTACATATGTTCAATGGATGAAACTTTATTAATTGTATTGTTCCATTTCATAATATCTTTATCTAGAATTTCAGTTCATAAATGTATTCTCTTAAATGTGTTATTTCATTCAAAAACAGTCCACTTCTGGTCATTTGTGTACAGTTTTAGAATGACCATAATTTTAAATCCACCACTGATCTTGAACTTCTCATTCTAGGTTCATGCTTTAAATATCCTCAGAGCCCTGTTCAGAGATACACGTCTGGGAGAAAACATTATTCCTTATGTTGCTGATGGAGCTAAAGCTGCAATTCTGGGATTCACATCACCTGTCTGGGCAGTGAGTATTCTTGCCATCTGTGCCATTGAGCTAATTTTGTTTTTGAATTACAGGTTTTTGATAAGCTAACCTTTCCCTGGTGCCAAACATATACGCTGCATTTTATCAACTAATTTCTTCAGGGGATAAGTGTTTTGATCAGACTACATTTATTTACAGTTTCTGTTGTTGTAAAGTGACACCATGTTTTTCCTATAAAGCAGAACATTTAACTGGGGCTGGCTTACAGTTTCAGAGGTTCAATCCATTATATCATGATGACAAGCATGGCAGCATGCAGGCAGACATGGTGCTGGAGAAGAAGCTGAGAGTTCTACATCTTGATTTACAGGCAGCAGGAGATAGTGAGTCACACTGAGCATAGCTTGAGCTTGAGAGACCTCAAAGCCCAGCCCCACAGTGACACACTCCCTCAAACAAGGCCACACCTACTCCAACAGACCACATCCCCTAATAGTGCCACTCCCAGTGGGCCAATGGGGTCGATTTTATTCAACTACCACAGGGTTCCATTTTATCTCCTTTGTTGATTTATCATTAATAGCAACCTTATTTTGTGGTTGCTTTGGCATCTGTGTGTCTTATGACATATAAAGTGTAAGAACTTACTAATAGTGTGCTTCTATTTATCTCTGTCTTTGGGCTGTTACTGCTTCACATTTTTCTTTGCTGTAATCACTATCTACAGGTTGTTTTATATAACAACACCATAAACTAAGTTGTTACTTCTTTTCTTTAAATGATCCATTATCATTCTTTTTAATTTACCACTTCAGCCATTTTGAAGTGTACACAACTCAATGGCACCAAATACACTGGTATTATCACTAGTGCATATTTTCTGAATTTTTCCTCACAAACAGAAGAGTCTTTACCCATTCATTGGCTCCTTATCTTTCCTTCTTTCATCCCTTGTGCATTCAGCTATGCTTTCTTCTCTGGATTTGTCTGGCCTAACACATCACGTAAGTGGAGTCTATAATAGATTTCCCTTTGCATTTGGTGTGTTTCAGGATTATTTTTTTTTCTGTGTATTAGTGTTTTGCCTGACCATATATATGTGTACCACATAACATGTGTGGTGCCTGTGGAGATCAGAATAGGTCATTAGAGGCCCTAGAAGTGAAGTTACAGATGGTTGTGAGCCACAGTGTGGGAAATGGAAACTGAGCCCAGCTCCTTTGCAAGAGCAGCAAAGCTCTTAACTACTGACCTATCTCTCTAGACTTTCCCATTCTGGTTTTGATTTGCATTTCCAAAATGATCGCCAATACTGATTTAGAAGCAGAAAAATTCTTAGTATCTTAATGCATCTTTCAACATCTGTGGATTCCTTTATCCAACATGTGCTGTATCTTTAGCAGTGGAGTCTTATCTTCTAGTTCTAATGAACAACCAAGAGCAGTAGCACTGTCTTCTGTTGTTTTAAGAGCTTCTGGGACCTCCCTGACCAGTGATATATTGGGAGAAAGCTCATGCCTGGCACTGAGATCTTAGTAACTCATGTATTCTGGGAGAAGCACAGGGTAACTGTGCTCAAATTCCTTTTAAACACTTATTACTGTATTTAAAAAATTAGCTTCCAAAATAGTGAGTTTCCTCAAGGGCTTTTCATATATCTTTGGATTTTGTTAAGCCATCCACCGCCCTCTTTCCCTGTTTCTCTCTACTCTCTTTGTGGTATCAGTCTGAAATGTCCCCATAGGCTCAGGTGTTGGAACACTTGGTCTCCAGCTGGTGGTGCTGTTTGGGAAGGCTGTGAAACTTTTCGGGGCGCTCTATGCCTTTAAAGCTGTGTTCACTGGGATCAGGTCTTGAAACTTTATTTCCCCACCCCACTTCCTACTTCCTCTCTGCCTCCTGATTGTGTACACAATGTGAGCAGCCCATTCCCCACTCCCCACTCCTGCCACCTGCCTTCTGTACCATGGTGTAACTGCACCAGAATAAGCTCTTCTTTCCTCAGCTTCCTCTTGTCAGGGGTCTTGTGACAACAACAGGAAAAGTGACTACACAACCCCTGTCCTATTTGATAGCATGTTCTAATGACCAAACTGCGCAGGTACATATCTATAGTCCCAATACTCGAGAAGCTGAGGTAAGAGGATAGCTTGTACCTTGGCCTACATAGCCAGATCCCATCTTATTAAACAGCAGCAAAATGGCAGCTGGGATTATGGACTGGTGGTGGAACACTTGCAGAGCATGGGCAAGGCCCGGGTTTTAAATAAAGAATATTTAAAACTCAGCAAGAAAAAGACTCCCCGTTTAAAGGGAGCATAGTGAATCTGAATACATTTCTTCAAAGAGGACATTCAAATGATCAGTAGACATATGAAAAATGTTTAATAGCATTTTGTCATTAGGGAAATACAAATCAAAACCACCCATTAGAATTTTTTAAAAAAGGACATTAACAAACATTGAGATAATCCAGATCTGAGTTGGGGCAGAGACAGTGGTAGTGACAGAACAAGATCGATGGATTACTGGCTGGGGACGTTAGGCAGGGCTGTGACAGGGCTCCATTATTTGCTGACTATTGATTGGATATCAGTAGATCTCTGTCCAGTTTGGGGGTTATACTGTGAATGGCACTTATATATCCATAAAGTCCATTTTCAAGGCTATCATAGATGAACTGGCTCTTTGGGCTTTTAGAGGAGAGGTTGCAGTGGGTGGCCCTTAGGACAGATGCAGTCTACTGCTGTGTTTCATTTGGCTTCTATGACAGTTCCTCACTTTTCTTTAATTTGTTGCCAGCATTTCCAAATAGTGAGATTTCACATAAAAATCAGGGTTTCTGGCTTCTCTTGAAAAAGAAAAAAAAAAAAAACCAACAGAAGATCTGGCAATAGTTGCTTTATATTCCCTCGTGGCCACTAGTCAGCCCAATAGTAACTGCCCTAGACACGGTGCACTGATGTCTTTGTTGCCACTGTTCCTGGGCATTTGGGTTTGTGGCCATTCCTGCAATGGCTTTAGAAAGTTGTTTTCTAAATCTCTCATTATTATTTTCTTTCTAAAAATTGATTGCGCTTGTGTGCACATGCATGTATAGATGTACAGCTCATGTTTGACAGACAGTTACAAGATTGTGAGTCAGTTTTTTTCTTCTACCATATAGTTCCCAGGTATGTAACTTACGTCTTCAGGCTTTGTGACAAGTGCCTTTACCTGTTGAGCCGTCTGGGTGGCTCACATTCTTAGTTTTTACGGCCTTTCAACTTACATTACTAGTTGACATATATTATGATGATGATTCTACCTACTCAATTAGAATATAGATTCTGTCAGCAATTTTTAATTTCTGATTCTGAATGCTCTCCAGGGTTCTCGTATAATTCAGTGTACATTTGACAAGATTTGGCAAGATAATTGAGGAAGGCTGGTGAAGTTAGGATAGTCAAGATTTTTACATGATTCTGAAGCATCTTGACATGCATTGTTTAGTAAAGATAGGCTCTGTTGGTATGATAGAGAAACAATTATAGTTTATTCTTAATAATTTTCCTTTATTAAAAATATTTGTCTTATTTTTCCCATGAGAATGTTTGCCAGAATGCATATATGTGTACCATATGCATGCCTGGTTCCTGAAGAGGTTAAAAGAGGGCATTGGATCTCCTAAAACTGGAATTGTGTATGGTTGTGAGCCACCATGTGGATTCTGGGAATGGAACATGGGTCCTCTGCAAGAACAGTCAGTCAATCCTCTTAACTGCTGAGCCATCTCTCTAGTCTGATTTATTTTCTTCTTCTTCCCTTTTGAGATTGTCATTATATAGCCCTGACTGGCCTGCAACCCATGATTTTCCTGCTTTGGCCTTCTAAATGCTGGGATTACAGGCTTGTGCTGTTGCCATGACTGGGTTTCTTGCTTCATTTTAATTAATTGGTTATCATAAAATAATTTCATAGTTAAAATTACTTGAGTGGGTTACTGGCATTGTAATATTAATAAACAACATCTTGAGTATTGACTGATGTCTTGGCTGTTTTAATTACATGGATTCTACAAAGTTAAATCATAAGTTTTTTTTCACAAGAAAAAGAAGGAGTTCAGGTTTCCTGGAGTGTTCATCATCAGGATGTGGGGAAAGAAGTCTGCTTCATTCTTTAGAAACATACAAATATATGGTGAAACAATTGATGCCATTAGAAAAGGCTGTGTTAGGAAGGAAAAAAGAGCAGGCTGTGTTGTATGTGTATGGTTGGATTGTACAGCTGGTTCAGTTTAAGAGTAAGTCATTGAGTGAATTATTAGAAAGGTTCTTTTTTTCTCATTTGCTTTATTTTATGAACACAAACCTTATTTTCTTTAGTTTCACTCTACCAGTTAGGTAATGATTTTTTAATATCTACTTTAAACATTGTTAATGTTTATTTCATGACATGAGTATTTCTTAAATCTTATTTTATGTTTATTTTTACATTAGGTGAGAAATTCATCCACACTTCTCTTTAGTTCCTTGATCACAAGAATTTTTGGAGTTAAAAGGGGAAAGGATGAACTTTCCAAAACAAACAGGTAAGCTCAGTCCAGCCTCAGCTTTGTACAGCACTGTCCAGGCTACAGTGACTGCCAGATCCACAGATTCATCAGTGACCTAAAATTGTAAAAGTTCTATAATGACATAAACCATGCCACCAAGTCCCTCGGACCGATCAGCTACTCAGTGAACAGGTCTGGAAAGGGCAGAAACAGAGCAGGGTTGAAAGGGCAGAAATAAAGACTGACCTCATTGCAACAAGCAGAGATTTTTATCTTCTTCAAATATTTCTGAAATACTCCCAGTTAATATCTCTCTCTCTCTCTCTCTCTCTCTCTCTCTCTCTCTCTCTCTCTGTGTGTGTGTGTGTGTGTGTGTGTGTGTGTGTGTGTATTAGTGTCCAGCACATTATATTCGCTTGTCCAGGTAGAAATGTAACCATTTTTGAATTCTGATCAATGCATGTCCCTGAGTCCCTTTTCATTGTACTTAGGATGTGAAGTAGGTAGAGACTCAGTCACTTAGAAGAAACAGTGCTTTTGGCTTGTTGGAATTTACTGTCTGAGATATTTTCTCATAGCATGTTATCCTTGTTGAACCTCGGAAACCATTTGAATATGGGTAATTTCAAAGTGATATACAAGTTGTGTATGTTTCTGAAGAAGAGAAGCTCCGAGTAGGAGCATAGGGGAGGATTTGAAGCTAGTCTGGTTGACTTGCAGTTGCTAACACTAGATGTCACTGTTGTTGCGTGCTCAGTTGCTCTCGAAGCATCATTTAGGATCCAGTTTGGTTTTTCTCTTGAGGTTCTCCCTCCCCCCTAAAAGGTTGCTATACTCCACATTTGTTTTAGGCTAATTGCCTTCCAGAATGTGTTTTCTTGTGCTGGCATGAAGTCTTAGGAATTAACGCGTGTACATGATCCTGTGACACTGCAATAGCAGTGCTTGAGTTGCTGAGATAGGAACATTGTAAGAGCATATGATGAACTTGAGGCTAGCCTGGGCTCCAGAGTGGACCATGTCTCAAAAAGAAAACAAAAAAAGCTATTTATCACCCTGTAAATTTACCAAATATTAAAAAGGAAGGTAACTGGGTATATGTATGAATTTCCCAAGAATTTGATGAAAATACTAGACTAGTATATTTTATTTTTGAATTTATCCCTGTGCATCTATCTGTGTGAGTATATTTATGTTTAGTGCCCACAGAAACGAGAGAGGGCATCAGAGTCATTGCAGCTAGAATTACACATAAACTCCGGTTCTCACAATTGAACTGAAACTGGTTTTAATTGCTTGAGTCATCTCTCTAGTTCTTATTTTGTTTTAAAAACTGTTTCATCTTTAAAAATAAAATATTACTTGTTTGTAAGGATGATTATTTTTGCTTTTCTTAAAGTAATTTGCCCATTTGGTAGTATAAAATGGCTGATGCTGTTTCTCTTCAGTTTTGTGTACTTTGTAATAATTCTACAGTGTCCTAAGCTTTCACCTAATTCAGTCTGCTTATAAAACCATGATTAACAGTGATATAAACTGAGCCTGAGGGTACAAGTCTGTAACCCCAGTACTTGGAATGTAGGTAGGAGCATCTGGAGCTGACAGTCACTCTGGGCTACATAGCTAGTTAGAAGCCAGCCTGAGCTATGTGAGACGTTGTATTGGAAAAGCAAAAATAAATAGCTTGAATTCTCCTTATAGTTGTTGTGAAGCAATTCTTGGACATTACATATACATTTTACTGTGTGCAGTAGAAAATGATATTTATTTCATTTAGATTGAAAGAGGGTGAAAGAATAAAGTGGTGACACACATAATTTTAATCACTTTGCCAAAGCTATACTGATGGAAAACACTACTGTGCATTCATTCTCTTTGAATGGGAAAGGTTAGAAAATTAAAACTTTCCTAGAAAGAGGGAAGTGGAGTAGTTTTAGGGTGGTTTCAAGCACAATTGAAAAGTAAAATGAAGGACGTAGGAAATTGATTATGTATTTAAATTGATGACCACTTTTGTTACAGGCCTTTACTTTGATAACCTGAGGGTTTGTCTGCGCTGTCCTTATACAGGCTTCTGCTTTCTCTGGACTGGAAAGTCTGGCATAGCTGTAATTGGACTTGCTCTCTAAAGCCTTTCCCAACTCAGATTTGCACCGAGTATTCTGCTTTTGTGCTGTAGTCAATTGTATCACTGTTAGTTGAAATGCTTATTCGCTCTGTCTTAGACAATATTAGGTCTCCAAGGGCAGGGCCTTTTCCATCTTTTTTGCATATATAATAATGGGGCCCTTTAAGAATGCTGGAAGTGATGACTTGTACATTGTCTCCTTTTTTGGCATCAAATAACTAACCTCACCTAATGACATCTCTCAGGATGGTAATACTTGCTTTCACAACTTCACTGCCCTGCCTAGAGGCCTTGTAAATGTATGCTCTTGGTCAGGAATGAGTTGACAGGAAAAGATCAAAAAGAACATCTGCCTTTTCCCTTTGCTGTGAAAATTGTGTCTCTTGGAGTAAACAACTTGGTTTCTAGGTATTCTGTTGTCCCTAGAGATGACCTTAATAGACTCCTTGAGCCACTCTGCATTTCAGTTTCTTCACTGTCACCCCAGGAATAATAAGACCTAGGCTCATGTCCTCATGGGGTCATCGTCATCCCAGAGCTAACTACTGGGCTTCTTTCCTGTGACAGAGACGCCTGTGCTCTCTTCTTCTGTTACTGCCCCCATCATCCTTCTTGTCCCGCAGTCTTGCTTTTAGGTGGTGATTTTTGAGGAAACTATAGGATCAGTATCTTGACTTTTTTTTGTGTATCTGGTGCCTCACATACTGTCTTATGTGTAGGAGATTCACAGACATACTTGCTTAATAAATAAACCAGATTTTTTGATGCTAAACAAAAGAATAAGAAAACTGGTTTCTGGGCTGGTGAGATGGCTCAGTGGTTAAGAGTACTGACTGCTCCTCCAGAGGACCCAGGTTCAATTCCCAGCACCCACATGGCAGTTTGCTGTAGCTCCAGTTCAAGAGAATCTGACATCATTATACCAATGCACATGAAATAAAGTTAAATAAAGTTTTTAAAAAAAAGAAAAAAAGAAAACTGGTTTCTCCTGCCTTTATCCCAAATGGCTGCAATAATTGACTGAAACAAGTTAGCTCACCTCTCTGGGTCTTGAGTTTCTCTACTATAAAATGAGGGTTTTGGGAGTAGCCCCAGGGTCCTAAAATACTGAGCTCGAGTGTTACATAAGTTCCTAGAATTACAACCTTGGGTAAGTGCTGTATTCCTAGTGCATAGACCTGCCACATAGTAGGGTTGAAAAAAAATTGACTTTCATATATAAAGAAGTAATGGGGGGGGGTGTCTGTCTCCTCTGTAAATATTATAAAACAAATGTTCTTTTGAGCCAGTTGGCCTTGTTTTAGGTGTTTACATTATGAAGAATTTAATGTTTATTAAAAATAAGTTTAAATATATTGTATATAAATATATGTAATAAATTGGTTTGTTTTTGTTTTTGGTTTTTTTTTGAGACAAGGTTTCTCTAACTTTGAAGCCTGCCTGGAACTAGCTCTTGTAGACCTCAAACTCACAGAGCCTGCCTCTGCCTCCCCACCCCTCAGTGCTGGGATTAGAGGCATACACCACCACCGCCTGCCCAAAGAATTAAAAAGTTTTATTTGTGTGTTTCAGCCATGCATTTGAAGGATATCTTGTATTGGTTTTGGTTTTAGATTGTTTCAAATAAAGATGTAAGGGGCATTCATGTTTAAATACATGATTTTTTTATAACTACAGAGTTTCACTATCCTGGAATGAGTGGCTAGGAGTCCTTAAATTCAAATTTATTTTTATGTTATGTGTCTGTGCTACATGTGCATGCATTACCTGTGGAGGCCAGGAGAGGGTGTGAGGTCTTCTTGACTTTAACTTACAGATGGTTGTTAGCTGCCATGTGGGTACTGACAATCAAATCCAGGTCCTCTGGTAGAGCAGCCAATCCCCTTAATCACTGAGGCATCTCTCCAGCCCCCTACTTCTATGCTCTTAAATAATATTATTATATTAAGATTTTCTAAAGCTTTTTCCCTTTGTGCTTCTTGTCATCTATCAAACTTATAATGTAGCCTGGCTGCAAGGTTCAGTGATCTGCAGGCTTTGCTTTCTAAAACAACCCCCATCTTCATGGAGGGGTTTGCCTTGATGACCCCTCATTTCTACCAGCAGAAGCAAAATATATGTGGCTTTTGGGTCTTTTCCTAATTTAATCCCTATGTGAATTAACCTTCAAGTAGGTGGGTTCGAGCTCCACGACCGATCAGTATATAGCAGTCTGAAGAGCTTTACTTTGACCATATGACATCCATGTGCTCAGTGAAGAGTAGCAGCTTTTGCACTTCCTGTTTCAGTGCTGTGAATGCAGCATTAACAGGGAGAGGAATGTTGAGGGTCTGTAACCTGCCCATAATCAAGGAGCTCACAATCAGCTGGGGAGACAAGGATCTATACTTTTGAATCAGGTGAAATAGAAAACACTATACTATAATTGCCTGCACAACATGATACAGATAGTGAATTCTCTAGATATTCGTAAATGGAAAGATAGAGTGGAATACTCTTGAGGGGAAATAGCGCCCTCTTCTGGCCTCCACGGGTAATGTATGCACATGTTGCACAGACACAGGCAGGCGTTTACCCAGACACATAATATAAAAATATATTTAAATTTCAAGACTCACTCCAGGATAGTGAAATTCTGTGGTCATAAAAAAAGTATTGTGAATGAGTAGACTTGGGGTACGTGAGAGAAAGTCAATCTACAAAGGAAAAGGCTTGCTCCTCTGTTGCTATGTGCAGTCTTTGTTCTGTCTCTGTGAAGAGAAGCTCACATCCAAGGAAAGAGTATAGGAAGATTTTGTATGATTTTAGAAGAAAATGTGTCTGCAAAAGCATTATTAGATCCAAGTAAAATGATTTCCGGTGACTGTGTTTGGAGGTGTTACAGTGACTTTACAGTGACTTTACTTTCTAGGCTATAAATGACAGAACCATTTTAGCTATTTGTCTTACTGTCTTGGTGTGCAGACGTGCCAGTATCTTCCCCAGCCCAGCGCCCTGCTTACAGGAAGACACTGTGAAGCAGTTTCCAGACAGAATGGCTTTTTTTCCTGCTTTTCATGTTTTCTAGGAAAATAGATCCCACAAGTTTCTGTGGTTACCCACCCCATTGTTGAGGAAAGAATCAGATTCTCAATACTAAAAATGAGAGCTGTAGGGTGTGTGGGCCTTTGTGTTTTTGAAAATGTAATTATTAGAATTCAGAATGGCTTATTTGATTTGAACTGCAGCAAATACTTATTATCACTTGCAGCAAGTACTTATTTGGCCAGACTAAAAACCAGAATTTTTTTGACTGTGGCCAGGATTATATCACCATCTTATAGACTGAAAGGATTCCCATTTTCTCCACTAAATGAGCATCTGTTGTGTTCTTCCTCTGACAGGGATCAGAAGTATTCCATGCCAGAGCCAGAGCTAAAGCTCAGTCGGTATGGGCCTGAGCAGCGTGCACAGCAGCCCTGTCCAGTCTCCTACCACACTGTGAAGTCCCACACTTGCAAGTTAGAGGCAGCAAGGTTGGAAGCACAAGTTCATCTTTAAGTTAGAAGCCAGCCTTGGTCACAGGGCATCTTGTCTTAAAGAAAAAAGTGAGGGGAGGGAGGGAAGTGTCACAGCGAGTAAAGGCATGTGTCACATAAGCTTGTAGAACTCAGTTCAATCTCTTGAACTTATAATGAAGGCAGAAGGAAAACCTGACTATAGAGTTGTCTCCTGAACTCCACACATGCCTCTGTCCCTCTGCATCATGCTTACACAGGCAAACAAACCAGTACTCCATACCCTAAAGAGTAGGCTATGTACTTACTGTGAGAGTCTCTGTTGAAGGGCAGGAGACCCTCTGCCAAAAACTGGCGTTTCCTTGGTGCCCTTTCGATGTCTCCAGTTTAGTGTTAATGAGAGCCTGGTATCAGGTGAGAACGTCACCTTTTCCAGTGTAGTCATTTACCTACTGTTACACACCCAGAATGTGACCCGACTAGAGTGCAAGGCACATTCCAGCTGCCTTCCACCAACACGCACCCTCCATTGGTAGACAGTCACAGTTTTGTCATCTGGCTTTAAGTTTGATATCTTCAAGCTGTGGAGACTCTTTCCTGTTGTCTGCGTGTGGACTGGAAACTTCTCCTCTCTGAAATGATAGCCTGTATTTTTTAGGGAAGCGAAAAGAAGCCAAGGAAAAGTAGACCTTGAGGTGACTAATATGAGTCTTTGTGTAGACGGTGGAGTCATGTGGATTGTACCCTTCTGACTTGGTGAAAAGTACTTGTCCTCTCCAGCCCCTGCTGTTTTCACACCCGTAAAGAGAGAGCAGGCTTCAAGGATTTCAGGGTCAGGCTTCAGAATCAGGAAAGTACAAGTCTTAGTTTTCAGTTTGAGTTGCCCCAGTAAAGTGTCAGAGTTTCTATTGGGACATTTGCCGTTTCTACAGTTAACCCTATAAAACTTTTATATTTGATAATAGTTTGGTGCTATAGGATGGGAATTTGGGGGCTTATAAAAATTCTTTCCTGTAATGTGATTTCTTTTAGACTTAACTAAATGTTTTTCAGAGTTCAAGCTTATGTTTTTTGTTCATGTCTTTAATTAAAATCAGACTCAGTATAGCCATCATCATCACTTGGTTTTACTCCAGGAGACCCTCAGAAGGGTCTCAGTTCTGTCCCCACTTCTCAGATGTGACAGTTGAAGTACAGAAGAGTGAAGCGGCTTGCTTGACGTCACAGTAACACTGGAAGTCAAATTCAGTAGTTATTTTTAGCTCACATTAAGCTTAACTACATTTTTTAAATTTCAGTTTACCCTATTAGTAACAATAAACCAGAACTGGATTCAGTGGCTCTCACATAGAGTATGAGTTTTATTCTTCCAAAGAGACGTGTTACCTGTCATAGGGTTTTAAACACTCATTTAAAAATTAACAACGACATGTTTTGATTTGGAGGCATTGTCCACTCATTTCCCACAGATATTTGTAGACCATTCAGTTTCATTTTCTAGTTAGAAAAAAAAATGAGTATCTTGTGTTTCTGTTGTTGAATACTTCTGACCACCAGAGCTCAGTCTGCACTAACCCTTCGGCCCACTGAAGGGCTCCGTGTTTCTACTTTCTCTTCACTGGGCTCATGAATTTTTTTTTAAAGATTATTTATTATGTGTGCAGTATTCTGCCTTCAGGCTAGAAGAGAGCACCAGGTCTCATTATAGATGGTTGTGAGCCACCATGTGGTTGCTGGGAATTGAACTCAGGACCTCTGGAAGAGCAGTCAGTGCTCTTAACCTCTGAGCCACCTCTCCAGCCCCCTGGGTTCATGAATTTTAGGTAAGAAAACTATAAAATTCTTAATAGCAACAAAATTCTTGAAAAGTAATATGTTCATGAACTTAAGAGGGAATTAGTCATTGTGTTCTTAAATATTGACTCTTGCATGAACCAAGTAATCTTTGTTCTTAAGTACTGCTTCAGGCCATTGCCTTCTTAATAACTAAAGCATTGTTGTCTTCGTTCGAGCATGTTCTGTGGAATTTTGGCAGTGCAGCATCCTTTTTCTGCATCCTAGAAAAGCATGAGTAAATATTTTTTCTTATCTTTGGTATTTTTGTAGCTTAAATTTTATATGAGCCAGACTAATATAACGTAATACCAATATTACATAATCCGAGATATCAGCACTGCTGCTAGAACTGCGAGATAAAGTCTTCATCTGTCGGGGCTTTGCAGGCAGTGCTTGCTCTCCACTCTCTGCTGCTCGAGGGAGATGCCACAGACCGCTTTCCCAGTGAGAAGATGGAGTCACAGAGGCTAAAGACTGAGGGAACAGTTTCATTCAAACAAAGATAGTATTTCTTTTTCATTCAAAACTTAGTCCTTGGAACTATTTATTTTAGTTCTAAATAGTTTGAAATTCTAGGAATTGTTGTTGAACACTTGAATCACTTGTTAACACATTGATCTTTGAAAATATAATAAAAATTTTTCATTGAATCCTTACTATATACCTTGGCACTCTAGTGTGTACAAAAGTAGTTCATGACATGATCTTAGATTTCCAGGATTTTACTTCTTAGTAAGAGGTAAGGCCAACTTTGAACTTGTTCAATAAATATGATTATCAGACTCTTTAGTATTGATTGTCAGAGATAGGGACCAGAGGAAATGAAGTCATCCCAAGTAACAGTTCAGTTTTGTTCTTGACTTGAAAGAAAGGGTAGGGTTTTGATCTGTAAAGAGGGGATTACATGTGGTATTATGTGGTATATAATGGTACATTATATGGTACATATAAGGATGGAGGTTAGAAACAACACTGCGCATGCCTGAGGACTGATGGCAAAACAGCCAGGAACAGAAAGGGTGTGATGTACATTTTCATCATTCATATCTAGAACAAGGAAGGATTGGTTGGCCGCCTGTTATAGGTGTGTTTGAATTTTATACAACATTAGAAATTGTTCAGAAGTTCCTGTATCTGAGGATTCCATGACATAAAATCTTTTTTTTTTTTTGAATCATTGAGAAATGAATGAATACCTTATCACTGGCTGGTGGAACTGGAGAGCACAGTACAAGGTTCTTTAGATGGTTCGCTCATGAACTTCAGTCCATTTAGCTTAGTGTGATCCTTTTTGCATTCTTTCTTTTTGCCACTCCTGAATTAATAATCAGTATCTGTACCAGTGGGGAGTATACATTATATTTTAATAAAGATTAGCTTTTCCAAGAGTTTAAAAGGTACATAGTAAAATTTTTGATTCTTTTTTTTCTTTTTCATTTTTTCAGTCTTTTTTGCTAGATAAAAATGATGCAATAAATAGAAGTTTGTGATGGGACATCTTAGGACATTCAAGGGCTGTAATTGTTTTGTGAATCTTCAAGAGTGGGATATGGCATGTAGTACTGCCCTAAATTATTTATTTAACCTTGGGTTTCTTTCAGGGTTTCAAGGAACATCTACTATCGGTGTTTCAGCAGCCATGATTTTGGTGATATTGTAAAAAAAACTGACTAAGGAGAGTAAAAGGCATATTTCTGATGCTATGCACATCACCAAATATGAAAAGTATGATTGTGTGAATAAAAATGGCCTCCATAGGCTAATATGGAGTGCCATTATTTGACATTTTGGCCTTTTTGGAGGAAGTGTGTCACTGGGGAGTGGCCTTTAGGGTTTCAGCGGCTCAAGGCAGGCCCAGTGTCATTCTCTTCCTACTGCCTAGACCTTTTAGCTCCTTCTCTGACGCCATGTCTGCCTACACGCCGCCATACTTCCCACCATGATGACAGTGAACTAGACCTCTGAACTGTAAGCTAGCCCCAGTTAAATGTTTGTTTGTTTGTTTTAATCCGAGTTACTGTGCTCATGGTGTGTTTTCACAACAGTAGAGTGTAGAGTAAGACAGAGAGATACTTAGTTCAGATTATCTTGGCAGCCTCAGAAAGACTTAGTTTTAGTTGTAGTTAAATGTACCATAAATTATCTCAAATTGTGAGGTTAAATTTAACATGGTATCCTAAGTAGGTTGATGGTCAGCAGTGAATCTGTGAATATTTCATGGTTATAGACTTTGAAAACTTTCATAGAAATTAAAGTATTTCTTTTACAGAAAGAGCTTTATATTTTGTTTTAGGGTCTTCAGCCATTTTATCAGGTGATCCTTTGCATTTCCCACGGTCTTGATTGTTGCTGGGGAAGACAGTTCTAGTTTGGTGAGCTAATCAGGAAGCTGAGACCCGATCATCAGGCTGGGGGTTTGTGTGGGTGTAAGGAAGAAGAGGGAGCAGACAGGGCCAGGGAAGAGTAGTGACCAGTGTAAAGCAAATAGATATGCTTTGGGCCCTTCCTTGACACATGTTACTGCTTGGAGAAGGGTGACTTTCCGACCGAAGTTAAGTTCCATTCATAGGAAAGGTGAGGGAGGGGAATGAATGTTTATTAAGCAAATAAGAATGTCTAATGCTACATTCTTCTAGGCCGATGTCCTCAACCCTCCTAATGCCACGGCCCTTTAAAACAGTTCTTTATGTTGTGGTGACTCCAACCTCAACATTATTTCCATTGCAACTTCATAACTTCATGTTACTGTTATGAAGCATAATGCAAATATCTGATACTTTTCTGTTCTTAGGCATCCCCTGTGAAAGAATCTTTAAACCCCAAAGGGGTCGTGACCCATGATTGAGAACTGCTGTTGTAGGCCATCTCAAAAGCTTTGAAATTTTTTTTTATAAAGAATAGTGACTTTAATATTAGAAGATAATATATGCAATATTTCATTTTAGCCTAGTAGGAAAATTTATTTTCCATTTGTATTTTTTTCATATATAATTATAAAAAGATATGAAGTGGTGCTACTGTTCTTATACTTAGTATGGTTTTATGTACATTTTTGTAATCGGCTTGCATTTAAAAACTCTGTCATCTAGTCTTAATCCATTTTGTGTTGCTATATCTGACTACCTAATGCTAGGTAATATATAAAGTTAGCTCATGATTCTGGTGGTTGGAAGTGGTCAAAA